CCTGCTTGGCCCTGGTCATAGGCAGCCATCTTGTGAGGGCATGAGGGTTAATTTGCATATTACCTTTTTATTATATAGGATATCTTTAAAACATTGTAACTTCCATAATGAAATATATACCAGGTTTAATCAAAAGTATTCCAACTAAATCTTTAAAACAATTCTGAGCTGGCTTGATATTGGATTTGCATATATTATCTACTAAAGGCCCGGTGCACAAAATTCATGCATGGGGGGTGTGTCCCTCAGCCCAGCCTGCACCCTCTCCAATCTGGGACCCCTCGAGGGATGTCTGACTGCCCATTTAGGCCTGATCCCACTGGGCAGTCAGACATCCCTCTCACAATCCAGGACTGCTGGCTCCCAACCACTCGCCTGCCTGCCTGCCTGATTGCCCCTAACCACTCCCCTGCCAGCCTGATCGATGCCTAACTGCTCCCCTGCCAGCCCAATTGCCCCTAATTGTCCTCCCCTGCAGGCCTTGTCTCTCCTAACTGCCCTCCCCTGCTGACCCAGTCACCCTTAACTGCCCTCCCTTGCCAGCCTGGTCACCCCTAACTGCCCTCCCTCCCCTGCAGGCCTGGTCCCTCCCCAACTGCCTTCCCCTGCAGGCCTGATCATCCACAATTCCCCTCCCCTGCCAGCCATATTGTGGTGGCCATCTTGTCTCCACATGGGGGGTGGCCATCTTTGACCACATGGGGGCAGCCATCTTGTGTGTTGGAGTGATGGTCAATTTGCATATTACTCTTTTATTAGATAGGATAATAATTAAAGCATAATATGCTAATTTAGACCAGACATCCTTCCAGACGTTCTTCCAGACAGCCTTCCAGATGAAGCCGGGGCTGCAAGGGAAGCCTGGATCCCGGATGCCAGAGGGAAGCCAGTGCTGGCAGCCAGGGGAAGGAAAGCCTACTCTTGCATGAATTTTGTGCATTGGGCCTCTAGTTATGACATAATTGAAATCAGTAAGAGCAGCAGACATTTTGTTTTGCTCCTTATATTGTCTTTACTTCTTTTCCATACCAAGTGTAAATCTTAAAGAAAATTTTCTTAAATAGCAGATTCTAATGGTATAAAATAGAATAATTTTCTAGTCAGAATAAATGTGGAAATTGAAATAATTCTTTAGCAACTATTATATATTGAGTGTTTAATTGTAGAGTCAAAACAAAATTAAAAGAATTTCTGCTTTGAAAGTTACAAGAAAAAAAGAAAAAATACAAAGGAAGAAAAGTCACATTGAAAAAGAAATACCACAAATTATGTTTATGAGAATGACATATCCTTTACCAATGTTAAATAGTAGGGGTTTAATTTTGATAATCTGATAGAATCAGGGATAAAGAACCTTGGGATCTAGAAACTTTATGTTTATCACCTGGCAAAAATTTTATTTCTTTGTACAGTTTTGGATAGAGAGAGTTTTTGACCACCAAGTCATAAACATTAAGATTCTTTGTCACATTGTGTTCCACCCTGCATTTAGCCAACTGAGGACTTGAGGGTATAGTAAGTGACAAATCCTTTGGCAATGCTATTTCTGTATCCACACATCTGCATTTTCAGATAGCTCTCAAGTGCTTTTTACCTAGCTCTTCCTTTTAAGGTTTATATGTCTTTTTTTCTGCTTCTCTGTCATATTAGCTATTATATTTTACTGCTGTCCTATATAAGAAAAGCCCAGTGACCAAACAGTGGAACAACCAGAATGACTGGTTGACCAGTTACTATGACAAGCACTGACCACCAGGGGGCAGACACTCAACGCAGGAGCTGCCCCCTGGTAGTCAGTGTGCTCCCACAGTGGGAGCACTGCTCGTGTGACTGGGATGAGCGGCGCTCTCACAGCATGCCAATCCCCGCAGGCCACGCCCCCCACCAGTGCACGAATCCTGTGCACCGGGCCTCTAGTTCTTACATATTTTTGGATGAGTGGGGAAGTGGTTTCTTAAAGTTGGAGGGTATGGCTAAGGATGAGAGTTCTCATTCTAAGCTCAAGCCTTATTTAAAGTGGGATCCAATTTGCCATTGTTTGAAATTCTAAATACCAGATTATCAGTAGTCTTTGTTTGTAAATATAAAAAACATTATTAATATTTTTATTTTTCCACTTATATGTGACTAATACCCATATGTACTTACTATAGACAGTCATGGGGATTTCTTTGAAGGTGCTACCACGAACAAACTGAAAATAAATGTTTATACATGAAGTGTAGTAACATGACATGTATACTTAGTAACATAAAACTAAGGCTAGTTGTATTAAAAAATATGGAACCACTGTATTTCTTACTAAGGTAAATAAAATAAAGCTATCATTACACTTAACAGAAATGAAGTCTTCATATGAGTCAAATTCCAGTTTCCTGCTATGAGGCTGATAGCTTAACATTTATAGATTTGTAATTCAGTCTTGAAAATTATAGAATACTTAATCCAAAGTCATGTGTTTTCTGACACATTGACTCTATAGTAATAAAGAAGCAAAATATTCTTTGCCTTTAACTATTATGATTAATGACAACTTTTTTATATTCAGTAGCAAAGACATTTGAGGATAAAAAAAATTATAGTTGTTTTTTTCCATGTCTCATCTTCCCTACTGGATGGTAAAATTTTTGCATAAAGAGCCATATCTGATTCAACTTAATATTTCACATAACACTTAATACACTGCTTGGCCTCATGTAAATTTTAATGGATTGTTGTTGAATAAAGCCATAAAGAATTTATGTCATTTCTTTACAGATGGGCCAGTGATGCACAATCAACAGAGCAATCCAAGCCTAGTGTCCATCTACTCATTAATGTATACATTTATAGTTTCTTATGTTCAACACATTATAAATAAATCCAGTAATATTCTGTACCTTAATTTGGATATATTTGATCAGTTTATTAAGTATTTCCAGCAGCTGATCACTTCCAATAGGCGTGTCTATGAAGAGGAATATTAAATAAATGTTGGCAAGAATGTATGAAATAAAAATCTAGGTTTTTAATAAAAAAGATTTAGCATATTAATGAATTCAATAGTTACCAACCTGCTGGATAGAGAAGTTTATCTACAACATGAATGACACCATTTGTTGTCATGATGTCAGATTCTTTTGATTTCAATTCATTTACCAGAAGTGTGTCATTTACCTATCAAAACAAGGAATAATGTCGATGAGAAATTTAATGAAAAATGAACATTATAATTTATGAACACTATCATAAATTCATTCCATAAAACTTACTGCTTTCAGATAGATTTTGCTTCCTTGTATGGTCTTTAGAATGTTAGTAACACCAGGTTCAAACCCCTTTCCAATGAAAACTCCTGGTGTCAGGTGATAAAGGATAATGTTTTGAAGAGCATTTTTGTTGCCTAGAAGGAAAATATATATATTTATTTAATAACATGTCATCTTGTTTTGGCATTTTAATGCTAGGAATACTAAAGAGAAAAATATTTGTCTTTATATTCCCACACTGTATTTTCTTATCTAATTGTTCTCTCAAGTTGCTATTAATAAATAACATAAATGAACACGTAGCCCAAACACATGACAGTAAGCAGTTAACTAAAAATATTAATGAGTAACTCTTCACATATCTTAAATGAAAATAATGAAAACTATGACTCTACAAAAATTTTTAAAAAGGAAACATTTTTGAGGCTGTCTGGGCAGAAACCCTTGAGGAAGAAATTAGATCCTGATATCAAAGGGGAAATATTCCATATTCACTTTTACTTACGAATCAGAATTTCCTTTTCTTCATTAGTCATTCCCTTAAAGGCATCATTGGTTGGAACAAATAAAGTCCAATCCCCAGGTTGTGTTAGGAGCTCTTTCAAGTCTGCAGCTTCTAGAAAGCTAAGGAAGATGCTAAACAGAAAAGACATGTGTTTATTTTGTTAGATTTAGATATGGTATGCTCACTGACAATGCATGGAATAGAATATAATCCATGTATTCAGAAAGCATGAGAAAGTTGTTCATACATTTTCATAGGTTTCATATGCAATTTACCTGTTAAGAAAGTTTTTTCATGGGGAAATTATTTAAAGGTACATGTGATTTTTAAAAAATATGTTTTATTGATTTTTTTACAGAGAGGAAGGGAGAGGGATAGAGAGTTAGAAACATCGATGAGAGAGAAGCATCGATAAACTGCCTCCTGCACACCTCCTACTGGGGATGTGCCCACAACCAAGGTACATGCCCTTGACCGGAACCTAACCTGGGACCTTTCAGTCCACATGCCGATGCTATATCCACTGAGCCAAACCAGTTAGGGTTATGTGTGATTTTTAAATTTTTTAAATACTGTTTTTCTCCTATAAAACTTGAAAAGGTCACACTTTATAGCAAATAAACATTTTTAATTTAATATTCTACAAAATAGCCTTTGCTATTAAATATTATCATTTAAAAATTTAATTATAAAAAACTTGCAAAGTGTAATTCAGTTTATAAGATGTTTTTCTTTTTCACTCACCAAATTATATTATGTTGCACCAGGAAGCAAAATAATGTTGAGAATATATTTAGTTTCATAGACTTATTATTCTAAGTTTTATGATCAGCAATACTGAATACTAAATGCCGTTTGGAATTCTAACTGTGAAACAAAAATATGCCAATACCTCTCATTCTTTTGTGGATGTGAAACTAATTAAGTTTACCTAAAGCGTTTATCTTGTTTTAACTTTTCATGGAGGGATTTCTCTGCTGGTTTGATGATCTCTCGGAATATGTGAATAGCACCATTTCTCCCTTGCTTGCTTCCTCTCACCATGCAGGAATTTTCAATGCAGACAGCCTAGCAAAGGAAAAAAAAGATACAGCTCTCCATTTCCTTATTTGAATTTTCCTATGTGGAAATAATTGCATAATTAAATTTTTAGATTGACTCTCCTAAGAGGTACGCTGACCTATATGGCTAGTGGAAGCAGCTTCTCTCTTCTGTTTTTAATTCCTTGCAAAATCTGACATCACCTTATTCAACCAGGTTTTCTGCTACTACTCAAGCTACCCTAGGTGTCAGGCAGGTAGTTTTGTGAGTAAGTAACAAAAGTTCCATAGAATTCCATTGTTACATTTTCTACCATTCCTCTTCATGTTCCAACCATTTTTCCAACCTTCTTAGGAAACTTTAACCTTTTAACTCTTTAGGACCTTTTTTCACTGTCAGTTTCCTGACATCAGTGCCTCTTGTGATCTTCATAAATAGTTTCTATATTTTCTTAACTGTAATATCCCATCAATTTATAAATGAAAGTATTAATTTAGTTATAGTACTTTTAAACCAATAAGGGTATATGTATAATTTAGAGAACAGCCCATTTTCTGCTTCCTTTATAATGTTTGTCATGGAATTGTGGAACTATAATGAACAGATACTGTGTCAAATTCAATTCTAGGAAATGCTTTACTTTCTGTGAAATATTTTAGCTATAGCTGTATGTGTTTCCTGGACAGGAACCAAACAGCACCACTAGTTGCATTGTGATTTTGATAAGCAATATTTTCTAAAATGTTTTCTTCAGATAAAGTACAGTAGAACCATTTTATAGGATTCAAAAATATTTCTGTTTATGAAAGTTTATCTTGAAAGTCATTCAAAAGAGATTCAATTGCTGAATTGTGATCTCAGAGTAAAAGATCATTCTACATATTTGATTACATATAAAAATTATCTTGTAAATTATAATAAACCCTATAAACTGATAAACAAATGGCCAATGGACAGATGAAAAGATATTTAACATCATTAATCATCAGTAAATGCAAGTCAAAACCATAATGAAATACTACCTCAGACCAGTCAGAATGGCAATTATACAAAACTCAAAGAATTAAGAACAGAGTTAGATCCAGAAACTCCTCTTCTGTGTATCTAACAAAAAAATTTGAAAACATTTATTCACAAAGATATATTCACCACTTTGTTCATTGCAGCATTATTCCCAGTGACCAAGACATGGAAACAACCAAAGTTTCCTTCCATAGATGATTGGGTAAAGAAGATTTGGTACATATGTACAATAGAATACTACTCAGCCATAAGAAAAGATGAAACACTACCCTGTGGGGAGATTAAAAACGGCGGCAGAGTAAGTGGAAGCTACACTGACACTCTCCAAGGACCAAACTGGAAATACAGAAAAATCACCCTGAAAAATCAACTAAAGACTAGCTGGAGAGAACCCTGATAACCAAAGATCGAAAGTGGAGACTATAGAGACTGGTAGGAAGTGTGGAGACAAGAAAGGGATGGCTGGGCTTCCACAATCAGCAGCTGAAGTTTCAAAGTGTTAACACAGCTGTTAGGGGTTTCCCACTGAGAACTCTGGAGTCTAAACCCCAAGCTGGCCTCCCCAGCCCAGAGCACCAGAACTGAGAAGGGTGCCCACGTAATACCTGACTGTGAAAAGCATCAGGGTTGCTGTCTGCCAGTGAGAGATGGCTGGAAATGCAGGCACCCTCTTAAAGGACCAAGGCACAACATTTTGTGTGCAGCTTTTCACCTTGGGCTCCAGGAGAGGGAGGGAAGAGTAGACTGGAGCTGTGTTAGGAGATTCCAGGGTTGGGGGGGGTGGGAATTGGAGCTTGGAGTGTAATCTTCTGGTCTCCTGTGTTGAGTCATTCCCTCACTGTGTGGAGGACATCTTTCTCTGATTGACATTTGCTATCTAGGCAGTTTTGGCTGGGGTGAAGGCAATTGCACACCTTAATGGAAGTCATCTCATCCCCACTCTGTGGTCAGCATAAAGTTAATCAAGCATGAATAAAATCAAACTGCAGGCAGAGGTGGATCTCTGGAGGTTTTGAGTCTGTCCTGATATAATCTCAGGCCCTGATCTAGGAAAAGCAGACCCTGGTGCACATCGTGGTGCTTTCCTAAGGCACCCAACCCCAGCAGAGGGAGCCACAAGCTGTGGATTGCTGATAGCCCCAAACAGAGTACTAAGTGCCAGTCAGAAGCAGCATCTGACATTATCCTGCATTAGAGATTGGGAGTCACAGCAGATCTACCTAATATATATACACAAACCCAGATAGAAAGCCAAAATGGGAAGACAAAAAAAACAACTCCCAAATGAAAGAAGAGGAGAATTCACCAGAAGAAGAACTAAATGAAACAGAGACAAGAAATTTATCAGATATAGAGCTCAGAATAATAATGGCAAAGATGCTCAACAGCATGAGAAAAAATATAGTAATTATGAAAAAAGACCAGTCAGAAATAAAGAATGACATAGCACTAAATAACACTGTGGAAGGAATACACAGCAGATATGGGGAAGCAGAGGACCGGATCAGCGAATTAGAAGACAGAGTAGAAAAAAAATCACTCAATCATAGAAACAAAAAACAATTTAAAAACAGGAGGACAGATTAAGGGAGCCCTGGGACAAAGTGAAGCAAAAATATTCACATAATCAGAGTGCCAGAAGGAGGCGAAAGTGAGCAAGGGATAGAGAACATATTTGAAGAAATAATGGCAAAATACTTCCCCAACCTACTGAAGAAAAAAGTCACATGAGTCAAGGAGGCACATAGAGTCACAAGAAAGAAGAACCCAAACAGGTCCATGCCCAGACACATCATAATTAAAATGACAAAAATTAAAAATAGAGAATCTTAAAGAGAGAAAAGCAATGTGTTACCTACAAAAGGGTTGATTCCTCAACAGAAACTCAATAGGCCAGAAGGGAATGGCATGACGTATTCAAGGTAATGAAAAGCAAGTATCTGAAATCAAGATTACTATATCCAGAAAGGCTATCATTCAAAATAGATGGTGAAATAAAAAGCTTACCAGAAAAAAAGGCTTTATCACCACCAAACCAGCACTGCAAGAAATGCTAACGGGACTGCTGTAATGAGAAGAAATATATAGAGAGAAACATAGACATACAGATCTTAAGTGTCAAGAAATAAGTTCCTATCAATAATAACCATAAATGCAAATGGATTAAATGCTCCAATCAAAAGATACAAAAACATGACCCAATTATATGCTGTCTACAAGAGACCCACCTCGGAACAAAAGACTCACACAGGCTGAGGATGAAGGGATGGAAAAACATTTTCCATGAATGGAAAGGAAAAACAAAACAAAACAAAAACAACGCTAGGGTAGCAATCCTCATATCTGACAAAATAGACTTCAAAATGAATTTCATCACAAGAGACAATAAGGGTCACTACATAATACTCAAGGTATCAATACAACAAGAGGATATAAACCTGGTAAACATATATGTACCCAATATAGGAGCACCTAAATATATATTAAAAAACACTTCTTGAGGACTTTGAGGTAAAGATCAAAAGCAATACAGTTATAGTAGGGGACTTTAATACCCCACTGACTTCCCTGGATAGATCTTCCAGATAAAAAATTATCAAGGAAAGAGTGACTCTAAATGACCCACTGGATCAGATGGATTTAATTATCATTTATAGAACATTTCATCTGAATGCTGCAGAATATAAATTCTTCTCAAGTGCACATGGACCATTCTCAAAGATAGACCACATGTTAGAATACAAAACAAGTTTCTACAATTTCAAGAAAATTGAATTCATATCAAGCATCTTCTTACACCACAATGGAATAAAATTAGAAATCAACTAAATTAAGAATACTCCAAAACATTCTAACACAAGGAGGCTATATAACATGTTATTAAACAACTAGAGGCCTGGGGCATGAATTTGTGCACCAGTGGGGTCCTTTGACCTGGCCTGCGGGATCGGGCTGAAACCCTCTCTCCAATATCCTCCGAGGGGTCCCAGATTGCAAGAGGGCACAGGCCATGCCAAGGGACCCCACTGGTGCACAATCAGGGCCAGGAAGGGATGTAGGAGGTTGGCCAGCCCAGGAGGGACTGCGGAAGGGCTCCAGGGAGTGTCCAGACCAATTTGCTCAGTTCCAATTGGCCAGACCCCAGCAACAAGCTAACCTACCAGTCGAAGCATCTCTCCCCTGGTGGTCAGTGCATGTCATAGCGAATAATTGAGTGGCCTTAGCATATCATTAGCATATTATGCTTTGATTGGTTGAATGGCTGACTGGACAACCAGACACTTAGCATATTAGGCTTTTATTATATAGGATGACAGGGTTACCAATGAGATCAAGGAAGAAATAAAAAATGTTCTGGAAACAAATGTAAATGAACCTAAAACAACCTAAAATCTCTGTGACCCAGAAAAAGCAGTTCTAAGAGGGAGGTTCATAGCACTTCAGGCCTACCTCAAAAGACAGAAAAATTAATAATAAAATATTTAACACTACACCTTAAAGAATTAGAAAGAGAACAATAAGAAAAGCCCAGAGGAAGTAGAATGAAAGAAATAATAAAGATTAGAGCAGAAATAACTTACGTTGAGATGAAAAAAATCATATAAAAGTTCATTGAAACTAAGAGTTCATTCTTTGAAAAGATAAACAAGATTTATGAACCTTCAGCCAATCTCATCCTATATAATAAAAGCCTAATATGCAAATTGACCAAATGGCAGAACCACCAGACACTATGATATGCACTGACCACCAGGGGACAGACACTCAATGCAGGAGCTGCCCCCAGCCCACAGGCCCCAGGCCAGCCAAGGCAGGTGCCAGTGGGGGACCCGTGATCACCCCACTGGTCACCCCACAGATTGGCCCTGATCGCTGGCCAGGCCTAGGGGCTCTACCTATACATGAATTTCATGCACTGGGCCTCTCTAGTCAGAAAATAAAGAGAGAGGACCCCAAAAATTAAATCAGAAATGAAAGTGGTGAAGTAACAACTGACACCATGGAAATACAAAGGGTTGTAAGAAAATACTGTGAACAGCTATATGCCAACAAGCTGGACAAAGTGGATAAAATGGACATATTCCTAGAAAAATACAATCTCCCAAAACTGAATCAGAAAGAGTCAGAAAACCTAAATAAGCCAATAACAACTGATGAAATAGAAGCAGTAATCAAAAACTTCCTGCAAACAAAAGTCTTGCTCCGGACAGCTTTACAGGGGAGTTTTACCAAACCTTCAAAGAACAACTAACACCTATCCTCCTCAAACTATTCCAAAAAATCCAAGAGGAATGAAAAGTTCCAAGGTCTTTTCATGAGTTCAATAAAGAGAACTAATTCCAAAACCAGATAAAGGAACTACAAGGAAATAGAACTATAGTCCAGTATATTGGGTGAACATATATGCTAAAACCTTTAACAAAATATTAGCAAATTGGATCCAGCAATGTATTAAAAAGATCATACTCCATGACCAAATGGGATTTATTATGGGGATGAAGGATATTTGCAAATCAGTAAATGTGATACATCACATAAACAAATTAAAAGGAAAAAAATCTCATGTACATATCAATATACACAGAAAAAGCATTCAACAAAACCTAACACCTATCTTTTATTAAAAACTCTCAGCAAAGTGGGACTAGAGGGATCATATCTCAACATAATAAAGGTCATATATGACAAACATATAGTGAACATCATACTCAATAGGCAATAACTAAAACCTTTTCCCCTAAGAACAGGAACAAGTCAGTGATGTCCGATTTCACCACTCTTATTCAACATAGTACTGGAAGTTCTAGCCACAGTGGTCAGACAAGAAGAAGTAAAAGACATCCAAATTGAAAAGGAAAAAGTTAAACTCTCATTATTCTCAAATGACATGATTATTGTACATAGAAAATTCTAAAGACTCCACCAAAAAACTACTAGATTTAATCAATGAATTTGGCAATGTAGCAGGATACAAAATTAACATCCAGGAATTGATGGCATTTTTATACACCAAAAATTGAATTGTCAGAAAGAGAAATTAAACAAATAATCCAATTTACCATGGCAACAAAAAATTAAGGTATTTGGGAATAAATGTAACCAACGAGGTATAAGAGTTATACGTGGAAAACTACAGGATGTTGAAAAAAGAGAGCGAGGATGATATAAACAAGTAGAAGAATATACCATGTTCATGGATTGGTAATATTTACATAATTAAAATGTTAATACTACCCAAAGAAATCTACAGATGCAATGCAATTACTATTAAAAAATTAACAGCATATTTCACAGATCTACAAAAAAATACTCCAAAATGTATATGGAATCAATAAAGACCCCAAATAATTGCAGTAATCTTGAGAAAGAAGGACAATGTTAGAGGAATCACAATACCAGATATCAAGTTATACTACAAAACCACTGTAATCAAAGCAGCCTGCTACTGGCACAAGAACAGACATATAGTTCAATGGAACAGAACAGAGACCCCAGAAATCAACCCAAGCAATTACCCTCAATTAATATTTGACAAAGAAGGTAAGAACATACAATGGAGTCAAGACAGTCTCCTCAATAAATGTTGTTGGGAAAATTGGACAGATACATGCAAAAAAATGAAACTAGATCACCAACTTACACCATAAACAAGAATAAAACTCAAAATGGATACAAGACTTAAATGTAAGTTGTCATGGCATTAAAATTCTGGAAGAAACCATAAGAAGAAAAATCTCAGACATCTCTCTGAGCAATATGTTTACAGATACATCTCCTAGGGCAAAGGAAACTAAGGAGAAAATAAACAAATGGGACTACATAAAAATAAAAAGCTTCTTCATAATAAAAGAAGCCATCAAAAAATCAAAAGGGAGCCCACTGTATAAGATAACATATTTGACTATGACATTTCTGATAACGGTTTAATATCTAAAATATATAAGGAACAAATACAACTTAACAAAAGGAAGACAAACAATCCAATTTAAAAATGGGCAGAATACCTGAATATACTTTTCTCCAAAGAGTATATACAGATGGCCAAGAGACATATGAAAAAATACTCCAAGTTACTGATCATCAGAGAGATGCAAATTAAACAACAATGAGGTATCACCTTATACCTGTCAGAATGGCTACCATCAACAAATTACAAGTGCTGATGTGGATGTGGAGAAAAGGGAACCCTAGTACACTGCTGGTGGGAATGCAAACTGGTGCAGCTACTATGGAGTTTCCTCAAAAAATTAAATATCAGCTGTCTTTTGACCTAGTGACCCCACTTCTGGGAATATATCCTAAGAAACCTGAAACACCAATCAGAAAGAATGCATGCATCCCTATGTTCAGAACAGCACAATTTATAATAGCTAAGACCTGAAAATAACCCAAGTAGATAAAAAAGCAGTGGTACATTTATACCATGGGATACTATACAGCAGTAAAAAAGAAGGAACTCAACATTTGCAATACCATAGAGGGACCTGGAGAGTATTATGTTAATCAAAATAAGCCAGTCAGACAAAGACAAATATAACATGATCTCACTCATATGTGGAATCTAATGAACAAAATAAACTGATGAACAAAATAGATCCAGAAACACAGAAGCATAGAACGGACTGTGGAATCTCAGAGGGTAAGCACGGCAAGATGACTGGGTGGGAAGAGATCAACCAAAGAACTTGTATGCATATATTCTTTAACCCATAGACACAGACAATAGAGTAGTGAAGGCCTTGGGTGGTGGATGGGGGTGGGCTAGAAGGGGTCAATACAGGGAAAAAGGGGACATATGTAATACTTTCAACAATAAAGATTTAATTAAAAATAAAGAAATACTGTCATATGACTACATGGATGGATCTTGAGAATATCATGCTTAGCAAAATAAATCAGACAGAAATAGTCAAGAACCATATGATTTCACTCATATGTAGGATACAAAACTGAAAGCACAAATGAACAAACAGTAAAAACAAACAAACTCCTAGACACAGACAACTATGGAATGCTTACCAGAGGGATTGGGTGTGGGAGGTAGTAAAGGGTAAAAGGGGTCAAATATATGGTGACAGGATATTTGACTTAGTGTGGTTGGTTGGCAAACAATACAATATACAGATGATTAATCATAGAATTGTATACTTGAAACCTATATACCAATGTCACCCAATTAAGTTTAATTTAAAAATAAATAAATCACATATATTTAACAAATAACTTCTGTTGGCAAGAATGTAGAGAAAAGGGAGCCCTTGTGTACTTTTGGTGGGACTGCAAATTATTGCAGCCAATATGGAAAGCAGTGTGGAGACTCCTCAAAAAATTAAAAATAGAACTACCATACGATCCAGCAATTCTACTTCTAGGTATTTATCAAAGGAAACAAAACACTAATTTAAAAAGACATATACCTTCCTATGTTCATGGCAGCATTATTTACAATAGCCAAGATATGGAAACAACCTAGATTTCCATTGATAGATGAATGGATAAAAAATATGTGGTCTAATTTTGCAATGGAATATTACTCAGCCATAAAAAATGAAATTTTACCATTTGTGAGAACAAGGATGGTATTATGCTAAGTGAACTAAGAGAAAGACAAATACCATATGATTTCATTTATATGTGGAATATGAAGTAAAACAAAAACAGACTTATTGAAACATGGTTTCCAGAGTAGATAAGAGTTGGGAGGGTGGTTGAAAAAGGTGAAGGGCAATATGGCAAATTGTGATCAGTTTTCACAGTGATGGATGATTATTAGACTAAGTGTGATGATCACATTGTAAGATTTATAAATGTCCAATCAGTATATTGCATGCCTGAAACTAATTTGTATACGAACTATACTTAAATAAAACTAGTAATGAAAAGCTTATTTTAGAGACGTTGTAGTGATTTGTGGAATTGAAATAATGCTTTATAATATAATGTTATTTATAATTAAACAATTGCAAATTTAATAATTATTAACGCATAGAACTTTATGTGTAACTTTCTGTCTTCACACATGTTACCCAGTTCCCTGATATTTTCTTTTCTTTTTTAATTGATACTTAGAGAGAAGAAGGGAGAGAGAGAGAGAGAGAGAGAGAGAGAGAGAGAGAAATATCGATGTGAGAGAGACCCCATAACCTGGGTATGTGCCCTGACCAGGAATCAACCTGGTCAAAGGGACAAAGCTCCAAACAACTTAGCCACACTGGCCAGGACATTTCCTCCCTGATCTTCTGATGCATATTTATTGTTAAAACCGTATAAATAAAATTCTGGGAAACATATGTTGTAACAACATCCTTTGACAAGTACATGTCACTTAACAATTAGGCCAATGTAGATATTTTATACTGTTTTATTCACTTACTGTTCGATACACAAAGACTCTGAGTTGTTTGCCTCCAATGGTCTCAAGTTTTTGTCCGTTGTAAAGCTCATTAAGTCCAACTTTTACTTTCAATATATGATTCTGCAGAATTAATTTAAGAAGGCGCTGATCCATGCTCAGAGTATCATCTATAAATAAATTTTAAAGGAAAAAATATAATGGTATTTAGAAAGCATTAAAGTTTCTCTTGGTTAGAGAAAATAATGAAAATGAATCATTCTTATCTTTGATACTATGGGTCCTACACTCATATATAACTCAATTAAATGCTCAAGGCAATGGATTTTATGCACCAACAGAAACTCTATGAGCTATTTCATCAAGTGACTATAACATGTTTCCAAGCAGTCCAAACAATGGGTTTCATTTCTGTGAGGGCAACATAGTTTTGTGTAGTCATTGGAAAAAAGTTAAACTCTAGTGGTGGCCAAGAATTTTTCTGAGAATTTGATATCAAATAGCCAGAAAGACCACTGATGAATCATTTGTAAATTTACCTTTGTTACTGAAGAGAAAATCAAAGCACAAAACATCTTAAAGGTAGGTTAATATTAATGCATATGGACATCATTATTACAAAGAAGAAAAACATTTCTAGAAATTTGAAATTTTTATTGATAACTTCTGTCATAATTTGGTATTTGGAAAGTTGTAAAATAGGTGGCACTTATCTATATATATAAAAGCCTAAGTGACCATTATTACCAAACTACCAGAACGACTGGTCAACCAGTCACTATAATGCACACTGACCACCAGAGGGCAGACGCTCAATGCAGGAGCTGTCCCCCAGTGGTCAGTGCACTCCCACAGCCAACCTCCCACGGTCCCTTCCCCCACCAGCCAACCTCCCGCAGCTCCCCCCCTCCCCCACAGCTGGCCAGCCCCTCGATAGGCCTCAATCACCGGCCAGGCCAAGGGACTCCACCAGTGCACAAATTTGTGCACCAGGCTTCTAGTTTGTTTATATAATTATTAAATTATGCCTAACAATTTAAATATGTCTTTAAAAATCACTTTTCTAGAAAAAATGGCAGGTTGCATTAATCTAAAGACTGTCACGAATAGAAGCTACTAGGCAAAATATTTATAACAATAGTTTATAACTTAATATAGAAGTGTATAATATTCTCTTGTTTTATTTATTTATAATCATGCACTGGAGGGGGAGTCCCTCAGCCCAGCCTGCCCCCTCTTTTTTTTTTTAAATATATTTTATTGATTATTTACAGAGAGAAAGGGAGAGGGATAGAGAGTTAGAAACATTGATGAGAGAGAAACATCAATTCAGCTGCCTCCTGCACACTCCCCACTGGGGATGTGCCCGCAACCAAGGTACATGCCCTTGACCGGAATCGAACCCGGGACCCTTCAGTCCACAGGCCCACGCTCTATCCACTGAGCCAAACCAGTTAGGGCTAGCCTGCCCCCTCTTACAGTCTGGGAGCCCTCAGGGGCAGGAGGTGACCCGGCCATCAGGAGAAGGCGATGCCCCCATCACACCTCTGCTGCTGCCACTGCTGGCAGTGCAAGCCTGGGCTGGCCCTGGTTACTTGATCCTCGGGCAGCCCTGGGCGGCTGGGCAGCCAACATCCAAGGATTGCCTGTGCCTTGGGCTGGTCCTGGGAGGCTGGGGGGCTGAGGGGACTGGGGGACTCCGGAGGCAGGCTCATGGAGCGGCCGGGCCCACTTGGGGGAGGGCCCGGCCTTGCCACACATCTGCCACCCTGGTGGGGCTGAAGGGATTGGGCATTGCCATCTTGTGACTGTGGGTGCCACCATCTTTGAGGGCGTGGTAGTCAATTAGCATATCCCCTCCTTATTGGCTGTGGATGCTGCCATCTTTGAGGGCAGGACAGTCAATTAGCATATTCCTTTCTTATTGGCTGTGGACAGTGTCATCTTTGCAATGGTATGAGGGCCAATTAGCATATTCCCTCTTTATTAGATAGGATGTTACTGTCAAATTTTGAGATGCAAAATATACCTGTTTATTCCTAAATATTATGTTGGTGTTAAATAAGAAAATCAGACTTATTTTTCTTAAGATTCATTATGTGTGCTGGTAATATGGTTATATTCAGAAAACAACTGAATACCTCTTATCATAAACTTTCACTCCCTTTATGCTATTGCCTATTAAAATAAAATGTTTGAAGTAAAGGACATTTCAATAGAGGTTATGTAGTGCTAACACACTGTATGGGTATCCAATACAAAAACCAATCAACAACTTGTAAAACATATATTATTTCTTATTGCCAACAGTCATGGTTGAAGAAAAATGGTGTGGATGGGTTGGGGGCTGAAGAGCAGGAATGACATTGTCCAGTAGTACATACCAGAAAATGCATTATTCACAGGTGCCAGCAAAGTATATTCTCCATCTGGCCTCAGAGCAGATGCCAAACCTAATTGGGCTATGAGGTCTGCAAAAGTGGTTTGTTGATTTCCAGCAAGCTCAATAACTTGTTTGGCTGTAAAATAAACCATCACAATTCCCAAAATGTCAGTGTTATCATCATCATAAAATTAGTAGCTTAATTATTGGCTGTTTTCTATAAGCTATTTGCTGCACCGACAATTTAATAAGACATCCTGACTTTCCTTAGTAAGAATTCCAGCTTCCCTTTTATGGAATTAATAACATCAAAACATTTTAGAAGGAAAATATCTTTCTGTATTCTTGCTTTTAATGTTCTTTAATTCTCTATTGTGCACCTCTAGACTCTACTCTTTTTTAAAAAATATATTTTATTGATTGTTTACAGAGAGGAAGGGAGAGGGATAGAGAGTTAGAAACATCGATGAGAGAGAAACATCGATTAGCTGCCTCCTGCACACCCCCTACTGGGGATGTGCCTACAAACAAGGTACATGCCCTTGACCGGAATGGAACCTGGGACCCTTCAGTCCACAGACCTATGCTCTATCCACTGAGCCAAACCGGTTAGGGCTAGACTCTACTCTTGTGAATACCATAGTTCTTTCATTTATTCAAAGATGATCATTTAGCTATATCTTTCCTTTGTATTTTTAAGAAACATTTGACACTATAAGAACCTTTATAAGTATTAGATATTAGAAATCCTAGAAAACCAAGTTTCCATGCATGGAGTGCCCATGACTCCACAGGTTAACTATTTAGCACTCAGTTCAGTCACTATTTATTTTGTGTTTGTGTTTCACATGTCATTCCTTATCCTATCTAATAATAGACAAACAGAGTAATTGACCGTACCTTCGCTACGCTTCCCATCGGCTAATCAGCAAGATATGCAAATTAACCACCAACAAAGATGGCGGTTAATTTGCATATGTAGGCACGAGGCGGAGCGAAGACTGAAAGCGGCTCCAGCCGGAGCAGCGAAGGCTTTGAAGGCGGCTCTGGCTGGAGCATATGCCTGGGCCCCCGGTGCCGAAGGAAAACCGGTGCAGGCAGCCAGGGGAAGGGAAGGCCTATTGCACGAAACTTTTCGTGCAACAGGCCTCTAGTACTACATATTCATCTTTCATGGACTTACTCTTGAGGCATCATAATTGATAAACAATAATAATTAGAAGAATATGAAACTGTTACCTACCAGAATCAGGAATTAGGACCTGATCAATCAAATGAATAACACCATTGTTTGTCACAATATCTTTTTTGTTCACCATTTTTATTCCATTTACTGTTATGCTGTCACCATCACATCCTATCTCAATTGTGTTTCCTTCCAGAGTCTCAAAGACTGCTCCTCCTGTAATGGCCTCAGAACACTGGAGAGTGTTTAAAATGTGATATTTCATGAGAGCTGAAGGACAGAATAAAAAGAGAAAGTATTCATATCAAGGGAAATAGAATTTGACCCTTGAAAAACTTGTTTCACTATGAAACTAAGTATTTATAAGAAATATATATATCTTATCTAAGGATTAATTAAATGTTTTCAAAGTCTGTTGAAGTTCTTGTAATTTCTTTCATCAACTATATAACAGACAAAGCTCAGCTCAGTAGGAAGAAGAAAAGAAGATCAGTTGCATGAAATAATTTGTATAATACTAACAAAATGTGTTGGATCAAGTCCCCACTATCATAAGAAAGCACTTTTTGATGTGAAAGCAAAAAAATAAATTTGTTCCATTCAGAAGGCCTGTAAAGTTATTTGTTAACTGATATTAGTCCCAAAACACATGAGCAGTATCTTGCATTAGCCACTCATAACAGAATACCTGTACATAAATTTGTAAAGCAATTAATAGAAGCTGAAGGCAAGACAAAGAATTCCCTAAAGACAACATATAAAAGTATTTAAAGTAAAGATTATTTTTGAAGGATATCTCAAGGGATCAATGCTTCAACTATATTATTTTTATATCTGAATTTTCAAAATTCTAATTTTAAATTGGTTAAATGTATTTTGGAAGAGGCTAAGTGAAATGTATTAGTCACAATGTAAAATCTATTTGAAAATAGAAAAGGAGACTGGAAAGAAGCCAAATTTTATACATCAATAAGTAATGGCCCAAGAGAACCATGCAATTTATTCAACTCAATCATATTTTTTAGCATAAGTTTATAATTAAGAACACTTAATAATATGTATATAATATTAAAATTTGATGGTTTAGGATACCTTTTCTATACTTGCTGATTCTTTTAATGTTGCTATTTACTTACTTGAAAATAGTACAAAAGTGTAATCTTTAGAATATTATTATTTTAATTACTTTAATTAGTAAATTAATTATTAAATTACTCTGCATATGCTTTCAAAGACTTTGTTTTTTAAGATTTTTATAGTTCACCTAAATTTTTTTCTTTGTCTTTGCTTATCAAAGCTGATAACATTAGCATGGCAATCTCTTTTTTATTTTATTTTCTTCTTGAAATTCTGTGAAGCTTCCCATATAGGAAAACATTTTTGTACCTTCAGAAGCCACTTTGTCTCCCATGATCCTTTCTAGGACACCTCGTGGAAGTTTCTCAAAGGCCTCATTGGTGGGAGCAAAGAGTGTGAAGTGACCATCTCTTCCAAGGGCTTCCAATATATCAGATGTGATGGCTGCTGCCTAAAACACAAATGTGCTTTTTAGATGCTTGCACATTATAAATCCAAAAGAAAATTGCAAGACACTTAGCCTAGGCTGACAAGAATGAGCTCATTGTATAGAAAACTATAAAAGTTTGCTCTATAGTGCTGTATAGAAACATTATAGTACTTTTTGGCACACCAACTATGTCCTTTCCATCCTTTTTCAAACTGTCTGTAAAAAATGACAATTCTGCCATTGTTTGTATGACTGTAGCAATATCCAGCAGTACATAAAATAACTAAGATGTACACATTCTAAATGTACTAAATATACTGCAGTCATGTAACTAATCATTTTCATCTATGTTGTCCACCTAAATATTATTTCATATGAGATGATTTATTCTATGTAAAATGAAAACTTTTCATTTCAAGAAATATATTTGTTGTCTTTCTGCCAGATTTGTTTAATAGCATTTTATTGTTTTTAGATTCCAACAGAGAAAGAGAAGGAATTTCAATGATCCATGACAATCTACTGTTGCTTCTTGTTCTTACCCTAAAAGATGAGAGGTCATCTTCTGCTTCAATGAAGTCTTGAATTGAGGTACCAATTTGTGTAAGGACACGGTCAATGACATGTACAACACCATTTGTTGCAATCTGATTCCCGTGGATGATTCGAGCACAATTAACAGTGACAACCTATAATTATTAGGGAAAATCAAAGTGCAAGAATCAGAGCTATCCATTGACTACTGAGACAGCAAGCTCATTCCCTATTTTTAATTTATACTAATAAAATTAACATAAAGAAAGCTGAATATAAATTCTGAGAATAAAAATTTGCATATTGCTATACATAAAAAGAAATAAGAGAAAACAGAATCAGTAGAGAACTCAAATATAGTTACACTTAACATATCATAAAATATAAGAAAAAAGCATTTTTTCATTTGAATTATTACTTTGATTCTTTTTTTTCTTTTATAGATATAGTAATCAACTATTTCTAATGTAGAGCAATCTATAATAATAAAAGCATAATATGCTAATTAGACTGGACGTCCTTCTGGACATCCTCTGTCCTTCTGGATGAAGCTGGGGCTGTGAGGGAAGTCCGGGTCCCAGGTGCCAGAGGGAAGCCGGTGCCAGCAGCTGGGGGAAAGAAGACCTACTCTTGCATGAATTTTGTGCATCGGGCCTCTAATAACTTACATAAAAAGTCTAAATAGTCCTAAAATAAATTCTAAGAGTGAAAAACAATTATTATATAAATATACTCAGTTTGATTCTAATAATGCCCTAAATATTTCCTCTTCAGTGATACTTTTTGACTCTGGAAATTTGACTGTTGAAAGAGTCCTATGAACTTGTAATTTTTACACAAAGACTCTTATCTAAATACACAAGAACCTAACTCAGTATAGTAGCCAGAGACTGAATAAAGGGAATTCTCATTCTCTGATTATTCTTTGACACACTCTCTGATAAATTATTATTTATTATTTTTCTCTGATTACTATTTTTTTAAACTCATCAACTACTAAGATGTCCTCTTTTAGAACATCTAAGTCTATTGTTAATTTAATTTATTCCTCACAATCAGTCACTGAATCAATAATGTACCTGCCCTAAACATGGGGCAAAGTCAAGATATGGCACCTATATTTACTAACTTTTATTAGCTCTGTGAACATTATATAAATAGTACAGAAAAAATTAAGGGCAACATTACTTAGAAATGTACTGTTTACTAGTGAAACTTACCCCATTAGGATAATGGTTAATGAAAAGCCCCAAATTGTTATACATCGAAGGAACAATCATACCATTTTTTAAGTCTTTGGTTAACATTCTCTTATTAACCATGTGGCTATGTAAAGCATTCAATAATTCAACATTTACATTGCTCTCCAAACCTCTACGGATATCCTAGGAAAAATTAAAATAATAGAAGTTTATTTTATTGTGATTCATTACTAATATTCTTATAATTACACTATCACTCCTTTCATTAATTTATCTTTGCATTGTCCAGCTGAGCAAACCAAACTGTCATAAATAACTTATTTTTTATTATTTCAATTAATTAAGGAATTTTGTAAGTACAGGTATTCAGTTAAGGTCCTGAATCTGGTAGAGTGCTTGGGCATTTTTAGAGACAAAACAATATTTTAAGTGTATATATTGATAAAGTGACAATCTTGATATAAAGTAAAGGCTTACAGGGATATGCAATTATCAGACATTTAAATTATTTTGAGTAATAAAACAAAAACATTACATTGTATACAATATTTGAATTTAAGATTTTATGTTTATTCAAAAACAAATTTAAGAATTCAAACATTCTGTACCTTTTATTTATCCAAAATTATATATGATATCATGGTGTACATGGTGCTATGGGAAGTACAATGATAGGTACAGTGAAGTTTCTACTTTTAAGGTACTTATCACATAATAGCATGCAACAAAAAGCACAATAAGATAGAGGATAGAAGGTGGAAAAATATTTCAGTGATCAAATGAGGAAAGCCAGCTTTTCAAGGTTTGCAGATAGGCCTTGAAGGGTAGACAGGATAGGAATGGTGCAATGATCATTCTGAGTCCAGTTGATAAATATTAAGAGAGCAGAAGTTATCTAGTGGGGTTAGCACATATTTGAGTTTCTCTGATAATATTAAGAAAAGTATGTGGGGCAATAACATATCAAACATTAATGCCTGAGTAAAGTGTAAATTAAACTGACAATGGGAAGCCACTGAAGATTTTGTGGCATTGGATTATAATAATTAGAATGGGCCTTAGGAAGGTTAATGTGGTGGTAATGTACAGCAAACGTGAGGGTATTAAAAGTATGAAACATGGGATATGGGTGACTAACTAGTTTGTAAAAATTGGAGAGAAAAGAGGTAAGGATGACTTACAATATCCAAGTCTAAACACTGAGACTGCTACTGCCAATTGTGGAAAAAAGAGAAAAACAATTGTTTATGGAGAGAAAAAAATGTATATGTTGTAGATACCTTTTGTTTAAAGATACAGATGATGTATCCAAAGAGCAATATTAAGATGTACATTAGAAATATTCTCCTGGAGTTCCAAAAAGAGCAAGTACAAGAAACACAGATATCATGTTATTTGCACTAAAGTAATAGATGAAGTCATCAAAAGTGTATATAAAGAGGAAAGTCTACTGCACAGACTGTAATAACACCCATCCTTAAGGCAAGGAAGAAGAGGAGTCAGCAAAAGAAATGTGGTTAACGACAACCAGAAGAGAGAGTTCTATAATGCAAGCAATTAACCACAAAGTTACAAGATACTATCTAGAGGAATCTGCCTAAATTTTACCAAATATATATATATTTTTTTACTGTAGTAGCAATTATCAATTCATTAAGTAGAAAGTAGAAATACATTTTGATTCCAGTTTTACAGATTTGGGAACTGGGTCATAATTTGGTGTGTGTAAATCAGACTATTCACAAAATGTCTGAAAATCAAATGCATTGTTTACAACACCTCATTTAAATATTCATACATGTGTTTATAAATCTGTCAATCTCTAAATAGTTATATATATTTACATATATTCAAAATAATAAAATATATCTATAAAATATAATAAATTCAAAATTTCACTAAGCTTCTTACCTTTCTATTAGATATGTCAAAGTTACATATATTGCCCGGCTGGGTGTGGCTCAGTGGTTGAGCATCAACCCAGGAACCAAGAAGTTCCATTCCCAGTCAAGGCATATGCTTGGGTTGTGGCTTGATCCCCAGTAGGGGGCATGCAGGAGGCAGCCAATTAATGATTCTCTCTCATCACTGATGTTTCCATCTCTCTCTGCCTCTCCCTTCCTCTCTGAAATCAATAAAAATATATTAAAAAAATTTTTTTAATAACATATATTTTCTCACAACCAAAAAAGAAAGAGTAAAGGAGTAAAATAGAATAATAATAAGTGCTAGTTCAGTAGTCCATTTTTGGTTTGCCTTTTCTTTATTAAGCTATGAGGATGCTGGATTTTATTTATGGATATATGAAAATGACTTATTCCTTACCCTCAATAACTCATCCTTTTATGTATCTTTATATATGTATAATTGAAAGATATACTAGTAAACTTCTATTAATTTCCAAGTTAATAAAGCAATTAAAAATAAAATAATAATGACAACAAAAATAATTATATTTAAAAAAGTAATGAATTACAGAATCCAAGTTGTTCCAAGCCTCATTACTTGGTGCAAAGTAAGTGAATGATCCTTTTCCTTCGATCTCTTCTCTCAATTTTGAGACATCAGAATAGTGTTGTGTTGTGGTGGCTCCCACAATGCCCAGAGTACCATAAACATTGTCAATAGGCAAAACTGAAATAATAAAGAAATAAATAAGAATTTAGGATATTATTTCAAAGATATTATTTTATAAGCATTTAAACTTTACACTATTGGTAAGTTCTCCAATACATTGAATTGATAATTTTAGCAATAAAACTCTATGACTCATCAATTTTATATGAAAACTGCCTTTTGAGTGCTAAATAATAAAATACTATTGAAAACTATTATTTCATATACCCTTTGTGTATATACTTGTGATGAAAAATGAATTTTAAATCATCATTCTAGTTTAACATATAGTCTGTTTAGGTGTCAATCTTTCTATGTCAAGAATAGCTCGCCGAAACCGGTTTGGCTCAGTGGATTGAGCGTCGGCCTGCGGACTGAAAGGTCCCAGGTTCGATTCCGGTCAAGGGCATGTACCTGGGTTGCGGGCACATCCTCAGTAGGAGATGTGCAGGAGGCAGCTGATCGATGTTTCTCTCTCATCGATGTTTCTAACTCTCTATCTCTCTCCCTTCCTCTCTGTAAAAAATCAATAAGATATATTTAAAAAAAAAAGAATAGCTCAATTATAATCATCAGTAAATATCTCTGATTATTTCATGGCAAAAGTGATATTTTCTCTCATGTTGGCTTAAAGTTCTTAAATAGTATGTTATTGTTATGTATAGAAATATAATTTTGATAGATTTGGGTACTTAAAAGAAATATACAGACCTGCTTCTTTTAATCATCGGAAAAGAAATAGATCAAAGTATCTTACATGTCCAGAATAGCTCTCTTGGACTTCCAGAAGAAAGATTAATATATCAATATCAAACTTAAGCTTGGTGCAGGAACTTATTTTTTATAATTCTATCATATTTGAAAATTAGTCTACTTTGGACAATCTCATTGGATAAATGATTATTACAGTTGTGACTATAATAAGATGATATAATTAATATATTAAATGATAAAATCAGGATTTAAAAATACTCCAACAGGATGGAGAAAATGAGTCAAAATTAACAGATTAAATATAGCAGGGTTCCATGCAAGTTCTATGCTTAAGTTGAAAACAAAAATCCTGAGAATGACCTGACTGGATAGTGTTCATATAAACAAGGCCTGTAATAAATTTTAATTGATTTTCAAATTCAATATGAGTTAATGATATGACATGGTAACCAATTATATTAACACAAGTTTAGGGACACCCAAAAGTGAGATATTTGTCTTGATATTCTCTCAGCTTCTTGAAACCGCCTGAATTGTAAACACCAGACTGGGATCACAATCAGAAAATAGATGACTGGACTGGGGGCTTTTTATGAGTTGGTGTACGTGATGGTGAGACATCCAAAGTCTATGCAACATTAGAGGAAGTAGGGTTGGCTCCCACTTCGCCCAGAAAAGAGAAGATTCTGTTGGAGAAGAGAGGGTAGCTGGAGAAATGTTGTGATGGTTGGTGCTGAATATCAGAATAGCTACCATTTCAAAGAGGAAATAGATTAACTGTTTTTTTCCTCTAGTAAGCAGAGTTTTAGGTAACCAACTTTCAATATGAGAAATTTTATAAAACCAGAGCTGTCCAATTAGAAAAGATGTTGCCTTGCTAAATAGCTACATGTTTCTAGACAAGTTCAAAGAAAGAGATTTTTAGAGGAAATTTTTGTTCATGAAGGAAAGTTGAAATAATTTAATTTAAGTGTCTGTTGCATTGTACAGCATTCAATGTATCCAAAGCACATTGTAATATTTTACCATCATGATAAATTAGTGATTAACACAAATATATGGGGGCATAGTTAGGAAGTATAAACACACACACACACACACACACACACACACACACACTTGACTTCTCTACAAGCTACTTCAACCTTTTTCTTCAAACAATACAAATTTCTCATTTAATTCAGTAACTAAAATTTTACCTGCTGGGCAGCCTTTCACTCCTTCCATTCTCGTATAACCAGGGCAACATTCATATAGCACAGTCCTGTGCATTGGAAGAAAATCAATATTAAAATGGGGAACTACATAGAATACATTTTGACATAAACTTTGTAAAGCATATGCTATGAAATTTTTAGAATCCAGAAATCAATCATTTGTTTATTTTTGACACTAAGGTATTTATATTAGTTTGAGGCTATAGTAAAGATTTTCCCTAAATATGTCAGAAAACAGGTCCTTTCTTTTATACTTAGTGTGCATTCCAAATATGCCTCATGATAATCAAGAATATAAAGAACAAAGATTTTAAATCCAGAGCCTTAGAGTTTCCAGCTGGGGCCTGGCCTGCATCATGGCCAAGATCATTATCACTACTGATTTGTAATTGTAATTGTAAATGTGTGAATGACTCACAAGTCTACCAAATGTCTGCAAACTAACAGAAATAATGTTTTAGTCAAAAAGTAACAGTCTGGGTGAGGGGCTGAGGGCCGTTTTCAGGCTGGCCAAGCCCCCCCCAGCGACAGAAGCTCCCAGCCTCTCCCTTTTTTCTTTTTCTTTTTTAATTCTGGGATTTATTTACCTTCTATAATTGAAACTTTGTAGCCTTGAGAGGAGCTCAGAGCCGGCCAGGGCAGGTGGGAGGGAAGCTTCCTGCTCGCTCCAGCTCTGTGGCTACGGCCAGCTGAAAGCAGGTATCTGGGGTTTATTTACCTTCTATAATTGAAACTTTGTTGCTTTGAGTGGAGCTCAGAGCCAGGCCGCTGCAAGCGGGAAGCTTGGCTTCCTCCATCATTGGGGCAACCAAGCCTCCTGCTTGCTCCAGCTCCGTGGCTGCTGGCCGCCATCTTGGTTGGGTTAATTTGCATATAGTCACTCTGATTGGCTGGTGGGTGTGGCTTAAGGCATAGCAAAGGTACAGTCAATTTGCATGTTTGTCTTTTATTAGTGTAGATTAAACCAATAAGCAGGTTTATCAAGCAATAAAACATGCTTTCCAATTTTAAGTTAATCAGTGAAAAATATAATTAAAAGAGTAATTGTCTTTTGGGCTATAGTGGCGGGCTTTTTGTCTATAGTGGTGGGCTGGGAATCTGGTGGTTTGGCTATAGTGGTGGGCTGGGAATCTGGTGGTTTGGAATTAAATGAAGAGTTGAAATATTCAAATCCTTTTAACTTTAGCTTTGATAAAAATTCTGAGGTCAGTTAGAGTACTTTAGGTAATTTCCAAATAACTGTAGGTAAGCATTAATTTGTGACTCAAAACCCCTAATATGTCAGGTCATTTTGCTCTTCTAGCCCATTTTTTAAACATAAAATAAAAAAAAAAATCCGAGGCATAAAGGTTAAATGACTTGCCTAAGAGAAAAGAGGGAGTAAAAATTACATAGCCAACCTCTCACACAGATTCTATACCAAATCACATTGCCATGTGACTTGCCTCCTTTGAACCTATATGAAACAGGTTCAGGAATGAGAATTCCACCAGTATATGGAGAAATACAGGGAGAATTTCTTCATTCATGTATGCGATCCGTTCCTTTTTTTAGAAAGCTCATGATTTGGGAGAGGTTTTTCAAGAAAAATGGAGGAGGTATGCCCAAGGAAAGACATAGACATCACGGTGTTGTCTTTGGAGCTGGCACATTAAGAAAAAGATGAGACTTACGTTTTCTTTCCACAGATGGCACCTTGATACCAGTTTCTACAAGTGCTGAAGTATTTCTTTTTGGTGCCTAAAATCTGTTGAAGGGCACAGACATTTGGGCTTGAAAGAGAGAAGAAAAGAAAGAGAATTGTCATAAAGATATTTACCTGTAGGTTTTTTTTAAAAAAAAATCTACCAGTAAAATGGTTACAAAATGAGTTAACATGTGAATTTGATTTTTAAGGATGTAATTAAAGTCTTGCACAAACTTGAATTTTATTCAATCTTACTGAATCATTGGAAAAACTGAAATCTATGTGAAAGAGAAATGATATATCTCTGAGAATAAAATGTCAGTGTACCAAAAGTTAATCTAATAGCATTATAAAAGCAGTATTAAGTTTAATGTAATTTTGTTTTCACATATCTCATCCTCATTACTTTTAATTGTAAATAATCCATTGACTCCTTTTAAGCTAAACACGTGATCAATTTGAGTATAGGGGAGCCTTTAGGGCTCTCTGAAACAATGAGAGACTAGAGAATAAAAGATACAAGTTTTACTATGTCCACAGACACTATATTCTGCAAATTTCTAGGTAAGCCATCATAAAATGAAATGAGGGCTAGAATTAACTTAAATAATATTGCTGCACAAAGGAAAATTTATTTCTTTGAATTGAGGTAATAGATTAGAATATCTTTTGCAATATTTTAAGTGTTTTTCCTCTTAAATAGATGGAAGTCTTATTTGCACTGTAAGGCATGGAGCTTTTGAGCATTATGAAAATCCCTCTAAGACACAGGAAGAAGTGCCAAGATTCCTTTCAAAAAAATTCTAAATGGTTGATTAAGATATTAAATTATGACATAACTTTCAAAATGCTAACTTGTAGCTGAATTTATTCTAAGAAATATAAATTGTCTGCAATTTTACTGAATCTAATATTTAAAAGCATCTTAAATGCTTCAAAAAATTCAGGGACCTTGTTACATTACCCATTATTTAATTTTTATACAAAACTTAAAAATTTCCCTAACATCATGTGAGATATTTCATAGCTGTTTACATAATGAGAATCTCTAACCACAAATTCTTTAACTTTGAAAATCTTATTCCAGATTTTTGGAAGAAAATTAAAACACAAATAAATGACATCATAAAGAAATGCCCTGTTAAATGTTAATTAGATTCAAATTATATAACATTTCATAAAAAGAAATTATACACAGTTATTTTGAAAGTAATTCTTAACATTTAAAACATAAAATTACAGACTACTTGTTTTTTTCTTATTACTTTGTAATAAGTAGAAAAATATACATCATTGTACATACAATAAGTTAAGGTGGGGGTTGGGGGTGGTTATAACTTGACTTACCCCTGATCTCGTCCTCTGATACGGCTATGAGCCAAAATTTTGTCATAATGACCATTGGCATTTGCAGGGTTAACAACAACCAGCAAGAGCAGAGAAAATATGGATAAGAAAGGAATCATCTTTAGCCTCTCCGTTGCAGTTCGTCCAGGAAGAGAACTGGCAGTAGGCTCTGGAGAGCTCAGAGTTTATATACATGCCAGAGTTGTGGGAGGGAGAACTATATCAACCTTGGGAATCTGCAAAAAACATCAGCAGCTTCAAATTGCTAGCTAAAATCCACTTTTGTTAGTTAGGTTTCCTGAACACATTGAGCCTCATTTTTACTCATATGAAGATATTTATTTTTATATTATTTATATTTCTCTTTATTTTTAATATCTGGCTCATTTCATGTTCATATTTCCATTTTATTCTTTGGTAATTTAGAGGGGCCTTTTAATAGAAAATAATTTTGTTTGGGTTTAAGGAATATTCTTCAATCCATCCCTTTCAGAGTACATGTTCCAGTGCGTCATGCAATCATTATTTGATCTTATCATATCTTGTCACATTAATTTTACATCAAAAGTGAAAAGTAACCATTTTTTCACCAGAAAACAAAAGAAGATATAAGTTTGATAATCACAAAGGGGTAGTGGCTGTTAATTAAAAACAAATGTAGAATGGATTTAAAACTTGCATGAAATATGAAATAAGAATTCTAACTTGCTGACAAAAGTGTAGAAGAGACCACATTTCCCTTACAATCCTACTGAAGAGATCCCTCCCATTTCACTCCTCTCTTTAAATATCAAAGGGTAGGTGGAATTAACATAGATTTACTTCTGTCACATTTCCCTAAGTCTTGAAACAAAACAGAAAAGGAAACATTTTAGCCTTATTGTTTATTCATTACATACTTCACATGATATTGAAAATCTCTAGGCAGTAAATCTACTGATAAGCACTGGGCAAAAGTATCCCATATCAGAAAACAGTATTACTGATATAACCATAACAGAATAATTAAATTCATATTAAGAAACAGGGATGTTGCCATAATTATTCTTCTGATTTTATCAAGAGAAACTAAAGTCTCTTAATGCTACATGAAATTCCTAGCAAAGGGAATATGCATTATCAAAATTCTACACATACATCAAATCTTCAAAATATTTTGGATAAAAGAAATCTGAATTTTAGAAGTCAACAATGAGCTAAAATAATAAGGTCAGTGAATCTCCTTGAATAAACATGTTACACACTATTCTAACGTCAAAGTGCAATTCAAATTTTTCTTGTGGCAAATTGCTTCTGCTGCAATGGCACAATAGTTCTGCTTCCCTACTGGTAATATAAAGAAATTATATAATGAATCTCCATGTGTCCAATTGGAAGTGCTGTTGGGGAATCTGGATTGGACCAGAGAGAATTCCAAGTATCAGGATAGTTATATTAAGCTTGCTACAGGATTTTGTCTTGGGGAAATACATAATTTTTCACCTTGCTGCCAGATTATTAAGAAAGTATAAAATGAAACAATAATTTCTGAAGTATGATTCAAAGGCTTTTTTTTTCAATTTAAAAATCTTGGTAGTCACATCTATATATATAAAGAGCCAGGGGCTGTCACATCCAAAACAACTGAACAGACGACTGAACAGTCTGAGTTGGGCGACAAGGCCAGCAGGGGGGGTAGTGAGGGACAACCAAACGACTGAGCAGCAGGCTGCGTGGGGCGACCAGGCTGGTAGGGAGGCAGTTGGGGGTGACTAGGCCAGCAGGGGGGCCAGTGAGGGGTGACCAGGCTGGCAGGGGGGCAGTAAGGGACAATCATGCTGGCAGGGGGGACCAGGCTGGCAGGGGTGGGGGCAGTTAGGGGTGATCAGGTTGGCAGGCAGAAGCAGTTAGGGGTGATCAGGCTGGCAGAGGGGCCAGTTAGGGGTGATCAGGCAGGCAGGCAGGTGAGCAGTTCGGAGCCAGCAGTCCTGGATTGTGAGAAGGATGTCCAACTGCTGGTTTAGGCCCGATCCCCAGGATCAGACCTAAACTGGCAGTCGGCCATCCCCTGAGGGGTCCCTTCCTCCCCCCCGCATGAATTTCATGCACTAGGCCTCTAGTATAGAAAATAAAAGAGCTATTTAAAAGGAGAGATGAAGAGAAAATGGCATAAAATGTAAATTATATTTTTTCCCTAGTCCCTTATGGGAAGAAGAGAATTACTGTAGCCTATATTTTATATTTCTGTAAATGAAATATTCTAACTTCATCCATATGTTGCTGGCATGTGTTATATAATAGACTTCTATTCCTCTTATGTTGTGCAATTTGCCTATTGAGTAGGATGAAAAAACTTTTATAAAAATAATTTCTATTTAATATCAGCAAATTAGCTGTTAGAACATTATTGATAACATAGTTGTAAAAATCTTCAATTCCAGACCTTATTGTTTAGACATTATAGTGTAGATCAGTGATGGCGAACCTTTTGAGCTTGGCATGTCAGCATTTTGAAAAACCCTAACTTAACTCTGGTGCCGTGTCACATATAGAAATTTTTTGATATTTGCAACCATAGTAAAACAAAGACATGTTTTTGATATTTATTTTATATATTTAAATGCCATTTAACAAAGAAAAATAAACCAAAAAAATGAGTTTGCGTGTCACCTCTGACACGTGTGTCATAGGTTCGCCATCACTGGTGTAGATTATTTTCTTAAAACATAACAATAGAGACTTGGAATTATAGAAAATAAATCAAACTTAAAATACAGAAATCTCTCTAACATCATCACTATAAGTAGTAATTTACTCTTTACTGGGATGCTCACTATTATTGATGCAACTTTTTAAATTTTAGATAACTATAACTGTTTATAAATTTTTCTGTAATGAAGCTAAAATTTGCTCAAATCTAATGTGGCTATTGAAGAGGAAGTAATGGGGTATAGAGAGAAAGAGATATAGACTTGGATAATATGTATTAAGAGTAAAAGAGCTCTTTAAATATAGTCCAGAATAATAACAGGTAAGCTTGATTATGATTATAACAGTGAAGAAAGAATTAATAATTTCCTGCCATGTCACCCACTTTCTTAATAGTGCCTGTAATAAATTGAAAATATATTAATTCTTAAAAAAACCCAAAAACACCAAAACACCTAGTTGTTCCTTGATACCACAGTTTTATCTTTCAGTCGTCTGAATAAACAAATAATTGCATAAGATGAGCAGTGAAAATGGAAATGTATTTGTAAATTCAAGAGGACTGTCCCCTTTCTGAAAGGACATATAGGTTTCCTTTCTATAAAAAAACAAAACAAAAACATGAGATATGCTCATCCAGTAGAAAGATATTCCCTAAATTTTCCTTTTTGGAGTTTCTAACAATGGAGTCTTAAATATATCCATGAGATCATATTTGGAACTTGTTTAAGTCCCATGGAAGTCAACAAATGCTAGTTCTCAACAAATATTTATACTCAAGATGAGTAATGCAATCAAGGAAATGAGAGACAGATTGTGTATATAAACTGCATATAAGTTTAGAGGTTGGAGAACATTCCAAGGAAGGAAAATTTTAGAGTAAATATAAAAACATTAAAGTACTGCAGCTTAAAAGCTGAGCTCAGCAAAGAAATAGTGGTGGTGTTGGTGGAAATCAGGCTCTTCCATGGGATCGCAAGGAAAGCATTTCAAGGATCCACACACATGAGATTGTGGTATGGTGGCATGGTTTATTTGTGATAGCTGCTTCTACCCCTGGGTTTCTAACGTGCCATCTCCTTCCATGTACAACATGTCTTCACCAAGGCCAAGGCAAAGGCCAGTGCCCAGAGTTTCTGCTGCATAGTCCTTCAGAGCCCCCTCAATCTACTGTGGAACTCAGGTGGCCACTAGACCCATATGGTTGCATGCTCTGGGCAGGAGAGAACACAATGAACAGGGCAAGTGCAGGTCACCAGTAAGAGAGAGAGTGAGAATGCTCTTCCTCTCCTGGGATTTTAACTAGGAGTTTGTTCAAAATAACCAATTAACTTCCCAAGATTTTGAGGGATTGCATTGGCTCCATCCCCCCATTAGCCAGTGATCTTTTCCCCAGATTATACCGACAGTCCTCTGTGCTTAAGTACATCCCTCTGTGCCATTTTGACTTTATTGCTTATGTGTTTAATGCCCCTTTTCTTCTATCCCTTCCTCAAGTGATCTGTGGGGAATGGACTGGTGGTTCTCTAGGGGGAGTGTGAAGCTGTAGCTTCCTGGTGAAGCAAATAGGCCTCTGCTTCCCAGCTGACCATGCCCAACAATTTCTGACTTGCTTCACTCTCTTCCTTTCAATAACTAGCTAATGAAGGTAACAGTGGGAAAAAGTCCAAGCAACTACTTCAGGCAGAATCTTGGCTTCAGCGAGGCAAATAATTGAATTCTGGTACATAGCCAACAGTTTGTTGTAGGATAAGGAAAGGAATGGGAAATTCCCAAGAGTGGGAAGAAAGATAATCTAAATTATAGAGAAGAGATTAAAAAATATTAAGAGGAATACAGTTCTCTCCTTTCAGAGCACTCATCAAGGATCTCTCTCTCTCTCTCTGTATCTCTCTCTCTCTTTCCCCCTCTCTTTCTCCACATAGAACCCTTATTCTTCTGTTTCATGAAAAGATCCTGCCCCTGGTTCGACTACATAATTTTATTCATGGTTTGAAGAAAGATTGAAGTCTTGGGACATTCCGGGTTACAAAGTCTGACCCAGAAATGCAAACCATTAGTGAAAAAGAAACCATTTATAATGCAATCTGAGAAAAATAATGTGTCCAAAAGACAGAGACATTTGTTTCTAGCTACCAGGATGCTAATTCACTGTCAGTTCCCAAATTGTCCAGTAGATCTTTTTAGTAAGCCTTGTAGCCTCTAGAAATTGTGAAGTCACTGCAGTGATATGCTTGCAATCACTGGCATGCAACCAATATTAGACTTATGCTCTCTAGCATTGGACATGGCCTCTGGATTAAAAATAGATTGGCCCTGGCCAGTGTCGCTCAGTGGTTGAGTGTCAACCTATGAACCAGAAGGTCACACAGTTTGATTCCTGATCAGTGAGCATTCCCAGGTTGCAGGCTCAATCCCCAGTAGGGGGCATGCAGGAAGCAGCCAATCAATAT